AATCACGTGATCTATATCGGCCGGTTCGGAACCCCCCTCCTTTCCAAAAAACAAAAAAAAAAAAAAAAAAGGAGAACACGGAACCATCCATTCTCTTTCCGGATCAGATGACTTTGCATCCACTCCCTTCCTGGGTGAAGATTTTGTCGTATCCACCACGTTTCGGATAAGATTTTGTCGTGGAATGCCCACGTGGCTATTGCCCACGTGGCTATTGCGCCCGTGCCTTCTGCCCACGTCGTCCCGTTTGAACGTGCCTCTCGATGTGCTGGCAATTAACGCTGCTTACCAACTGGCCTCTTAGCTCCATAGACCCCCAAACTGTTGAAATACAGACGTGGGCAGAGGCCACGTGGGCAGAAGCCACGTGGACAGAGGCCACGTGGGCAGAAGCCACGTGGGCAGAGGCCACGTGGGCAATAGCCACGTGGAGTTCGAACTCCACCGGAAGCCGAGGAGTAAACACTACTTCGGTTCTGAAGTCTGAATTACCTTTGGCCTGCCAGTTCGATGATGATATCTCAAGGCCGTCGCCTTTTTAATTAATTAATAACTACAAAAAGGGGAAAAAAAAACAATTCACGCTGCTTCCTATATATACGGCGAGTTCTGCCCGTGGCTGGCCTACCCGTCTTCCCCCCAAATAGAACGTACTATTCTCCTCCCCCCGCCGAATAGAACGTAGTACGGTCCTTCTAGCTGTGTATGTGGACTGAAAAAGTTCCCCCAAAATTACGGCTATAATGACCATACGCTCTATTCGGGCCGGGGGGGGGGAGGGGGGAAGGCTGGCAGGCATCGCCTCTCTCTACCTGCTGGTCACATTCCTCTTGCTAACCACGTAGTTACCCACGAGAATTTGCATGGTGTGCGCACAACGGTGCCCACGTGGCTATGCATGTGGAGACCCCACATGGCTATCATTGAAGTGGTCATCCACGCGGGAATTACCCCTTTTCCAATCGGTGGGGGCTCTCGGAGACTACTGAGCCAATTACCTGCCTTTTTTTTTTTCCTTCTTTTTTTTCTTCTTTTTTTATTAACTACGTGGCTATGCGTGGGGCGCCCACGTGGATATGATACCCCAAGTGGCTATGCATGTGGGGACCCCACGTGGCTACGATTTCACTGCGCCTGTCCACGTGGCACTTACCCGTGCGCTTACCCCACGTGACATTTACCCACGAGTTTTTTTCCAAAACCATGGAGGATTCGAATAGAACGCATGTAAGTTGTATTTGATTATATATACCGGCTGTTCGCGTTCTATTCGACTAAAAAGCAACTGTTTTGCTCTGTATTCGTTTACAACGCATATGCGCGTGTTCTAGAGACTTCCGACTTCACTTTTTTTTTTTAGGCCATGGGACGATTCAGCAAATACTCAACACACCGCTACACTACCTTCTTCCCCCAAATACAACGCCCGGTCATTATTATAGCCGCGTACTTCTTGCAACTTTCAGTCTAAATACAGATATAAGGACCGTCCTGTGTTGTA